TTTCTAAATATATCATGCATACGCATACATTTATATGAGATTCCGCCAGCTACTTGTAGGCAAAATAAACGTTAGTCCCTGGAACATTTTTGGGTGAAAAGTCTTTGTCATTTCAATCTTTTACACATTTACGTTCTTTGCATTGTTCTCACTCATAGTTGCTTTTGTCACTTAACACTACGAAAATTACGTAACACTACGAGTATTGTGAACTCAAACTTACTATAAAATCAGAGCCAAACTGATAGCTGAAAATAAATAGCCATTACAACCATGAAAATGCAAAATCAAGGATCGCTTCACTGTACATTATTGTATATATTTAATTAGATTTCTTTGCCGCAATATGTCATTTCATCATGTTTATTAGTGATGAACGGCAATTGACTGGTTGCCATTATGGAAATCACATGCTCAATAGATATATGTGGTCCAAAAGATTTCAATGAAGTGGCTCTTATATATGTATATTCATTATTCGGTGTATAATGATGAACAATAGATGTGACCACAATTATGTAACTGTATTAGTTATATGTCCCCAGTTAGTTGTAAAAATAAATACCATGTCCATGATTCACAAATAGAAAATGTTAATTTTGTTTAATACTATTTACAGATATATACATACATGATTTGTCAAGGGGCTCCAATTTGAGCAATTACAGTGTAGATGTTTGCAAGCAAAAGTGAAGCAAGCGATACATGATTATTTTTATGTTAGATGCTTACAATTACTATATTCTCACAGAATATAATTTTTTGAATGGCAGGTTTGCATTGCATTCTCAATGTGGGGAAACATCTCGATTTTTTGTTCTTCAAAGCATTTGACCAGATGCACTTGCATCTTCTTCTGCAGCCAGGTAACAGAGCAAGGGTTCACACCATTAGCCAAAGCAACAGCATTTGCCACAGCAAAAAGACCACAATTAGATGATCCTCTTTGATGTTTTTGGAGAATCACTTTGACGTTTAAAGAGCCATCCTGTTCCTGAAGGTTTTTGTAAACATTCTGGAGTTGCCTTTTTAATGATGAATTCAGGTTGGTACTCATAGATTCAAAGACCACTATTTCAACAGTTATGGATGTAGAAACCACCCAGTGGTGACCAATATTGTGACATTGAATTGCTTGGGTGATATTTTCAGGAATATTTATGACTTTGTTACTGTATGTGACTGCTACGACTGTGTTCAGACCAGGGTGCATTGTTGAGAAAAACGATGCAAATTTTCGACAAAATTTTTCTTCAGAGGCATAATCAAATGATATTAAATTAATTATTATACAGTATTATATACTAAATTAATATTTTTAGAACGTAATATTTTTATAACATTTTATCAACGTATACATATTTACAAGTTATCATGTTATAGTACACGATTAGTCACTTTCTGACGAGTCTTGGTCCGAAAATAAGCCTGTTTGCTGCAGCTTGAAGCGTCTAACGTATCGACTTTCTTCTTTCCTTCTCTGGGTAAGCATGGCCTTTGTATCCAATCCTTCGTTTCTTTTGTTCATACCACCGCTCTATTGCGGGAGCTGGATCATAATCTTCCACTGATGGACCCTCAGCACTAATTCGTAACAGACTGTCCAATCTTTCTCTTGACATTCTGTTACGTAGGTGTGTCTTCATTCTGGCCATTGTTGAGAACATTCGCTCAACCACAGCATTAGAGATGGGCGTAATTAATAACAGTTCCACAATGTTAAGAACGTTTTGAAAACTTTCTTTACTAACTTTGAAGAGAGAATGGCAGCCGAAACATCTAAGTATGGTGAGAGCTCACATGCGTCTCTGAAATCAACAACTTGCCCACCCATTCTGTCAGCATTGTATCGTGCGAACATCGCATCCGTTATGCTTCAAAAGTTTGAATGAAGTGTTCGATAAGAGCAACCGATTCGCCTCCATAGCTCACCAAATGAACTTTCTCACCTGGCCAGGACTGGGTGTCTATAATTGGACAAAGGTGTTTGTAAACTGGTGTTCTCAAAGATCACTAAAGCGACCAAACAGAGACAGTTTCTCCGAATTAACTTTGCTGAAGTTTTTTTCAGCTCTCTCAGTTTTGGGTGACTTTGTACAGAGAAACAGTTTGACGATTTTCATCTACTTGTGCAAAAACGGCATTGAAAATGTCGGCAGCAGCTTAATTTAGACATGATTTCAGTTGAGGACTACAATAGCCATGAGCGACTTCTTTTTGACGAGCTCGCTAAACCAGTATTTTCCCCATATTAACATTTCAAGTTCATCTGTAGACCAGTTGCACAATTGATTCAAAAGTTTGTAATGCCAAAACAAGCAAAAGTCGTTCATAGCTTCCTTCAGCCCCTAAAGCATCATCGTTTTCAACTGTTTCAACCCAAAATGAATTTGCAAGTACCACGACCGTCTTATTCACATATAACACGTAAAATAATTCTTGTGATTTCTTTATTACAGGTATCGGTGCTGCAATCGCATAAAACTGACAAATATTAGCATCCTTTAAATCTTCATCAAGATTTCCTTTCATGACCCCAGAAATGTGATCTGACAACTCAGCGGCTGATCGGTCTGTTCGATACGATTTACCTAGATCAATGCACTTCTCCAGGAGCTCGCAAATGGGGATATACTTTTGAAAGGCAACTCTTTTTACACTCAGTGTAAGTGGCATTTGAGATATTCCATCCTTTCGCGATCGGCACCGCCATTTTGTTGAGTCCTTGCCCAATGGGAGTTTGTTCAACATATTTTCATGCAAAGTTTCTTTCAAATTTTATTAACTGCCATCTTATGTTGATCAGAATTCATATGATTTACCCTGTTTTTCTTTACAACAGCTGATCCTGTTATAATGCGAGAGAAATTTTTGCGCTTGTTATTCTGTCCTCTTGTTTTGTACACACTTTACAGCGCAGTGAATTCCCCATTTGGCCATCATCTCGTATTCAAGCCAGTCGGCATTTAATGTTTCTATCCATTTTTTACTGTGTTAATTTTGCTAGTACAACTTTGACGAAGAATATCTGCAAGAAAACAAAAGCGAAGAGAAACATACCTACTTTTGTCTTCTGATTATCTATATGTTTTATTGATGTTTACTTATAACAAAAATATTTTGTCATATTTACAAACAATGGAAAGCAAAAGTACGGTTAATCAAGGTTGCCAGTTTGGTTTTTTCTAACGTTTCGTCCCAAAAATCTTGGCTATTTTTCAAATTGAAAATTTTAAAGTTTTCTTTAGGAATCAGAAGGAAAATGTCTCCTGATTTTATCGAAAACACTCAAAATATTTGATGCCAAAAAAGTAATGATGTACAAACGACAAAACAACGCAATGCAAAAATTAATATTTATATATGTATTACATCCGTATATGGTCAGAAGAACCATGTATGTCGACCAGTATGTTGACTGTTGACAGACTTTCCAGTCTCAAATTGACGACGTTTTGAATTTGATGACGTTAGGTTAACAATAGCCAATTCATGATAATTAAGATTTTAAAAACGTTTTTTTCAATATATGTGATGGTAATTAATGAAAACTTTTTAACATCGTTTGAAAGTGATGTGCAATTATTTTTATTTAGCCAAAACGATTTAACATTGCACATCCCATCGCACTTTTGCATGAGGAAAATGGAATTTCATTGAAAACAAGTTCCTTATCTCGAAAAGAAACAAATTTCAAAGTGTAGGTTTAACTGCTTTGCCAAAACGAAAATGCAAGATGTCCAGGTAAACGAGTGGAAGAGCAGCTGATTTAGAGAAAAGAAAGATTTAGGTATTTGAAGAGAAGCTTGAAAAGAAGAGAAGCACGAAGTGCAAATTCAAGGAATTGAACAGCAACTAGCAAAAAGATGAAATTGAACAACAATGAGAAATTGAAAATTCTGAGGAGTTTGGTAGATATTCAAGGAATAAAGTTGTCATATGCTCAGAAAGATGTGCCTAAATTTAAATGGATGGTTTCAGATTTGACCATATTGATGCATAGCGAAATTAATAAGATCTTGGTACCGAGTGGAGTCTGAACCAGGGTGAATTAACGGTGTGAATGTGCAATCGTTTTAATAAATTAGAAAATAATTGCACATCACTTTTTCAAACGATGTGCAAAAAAAGTTTTTCATTAATTACTATCACATATATTGAAAAAAACGTTTTTAAAATCTTAGGCCATGTAATTGGCCATGTTGACACAACGTCATCAAATTCAAAAACGTCGTCAATTTGAGACTGGAAAGTCTGTCAACAGTCAACATACTGGTCGACATACATGGTTCTTCTGACCATATACGGATGTAATACATATATAAATATTAATTTTTGCATTGCGTTGTTTTGTCGTTTGTACATCATTACTTTTTTTGGCATCATAGCTATTTTGAGTGTTTTCGATAAAATCAGGAGACATTTTCCTTCTGATTCTAAGAAAACCTTTAAAATTTTCAAATTTGAAAAATAAGCCAAAAAGATTTTTGGGAGCGAAACGTTAGAAAAAAAACCAAACTGGCAACCTTGATTAACCGTACTTTTTGCTTTTACGCATTGTTTGTAATATGACAAAAATATTTTTTGTTATAAGTAAACATCAATAAAACATATTAGATAATCAGAAGACAAAAGTAGGTATGCTCTCTTCTCGCTTTTGTTTTTCTTGCCATGATGGCTTCTTCGTCGAAAGGTTGTACTAGCAAAATTAACACAGTAAAAAAATGGATAGAAACATTAAATGCCGACTGGCTTGAATACGAGAATGATGGCCAAGTGGGGAATTCACTGCGCTGTAAAGTGTGTACAAACAAAGAGGACAGAATAACAAGCGCAAAAAATTTCTCTCGCACATTATAACAGGATCAGCTGTTGTAAAGAAAAACACAGTGGTAAATCATATGAATTCTGATCAACATAAGATGGCAGTTAAGCTAAATTTGAAAGAAACTTTGCATGAGAAATATGTTGAACGAAACTCCCATTGGGCAAGGACTCAACAAAATGGCAGTTGCCGATCGCGAAAGGATGGAATATCTCTTTAATGCCACTTACACTGAGTGTAAAGAAGAGTTGCCTTTCAAAAAGTATATCCCCATTTGCGAGCTCCTGGAGAAGTGCGGCGTTGATCTAGGTAAATCGTATCGAACAGACCGATCAGCCGCTGAGTTGTCAGATCACATTTCTGGGGTCATGAAAGGAAATCTTGATGAAGATTTAAAGGATGCTAGATATTTGTCAGTTTTATGCGATTGCAGCACCGATACCTGTGTAAAATCACAAGAATTATTTTACGTGTTATATGTGAATAAGAACGGTCGTAGTACTTGCAAATTGATGTCGGTTGAAACAGTTGAAAACGATGATGCTGCAGGGCTGAAGGAAGCTATGAACGAAGCTTTTGCCCGTTTTGGCATTACAAACTTTGAATCAAAACTAGCTGCAACTGGTCTAGATGGGGCAAGTGTTAATATGGGGAGAAATACTGGTTTAGCAGCTCGTCTAAAAGAAGTCGCTCCTTGGCTCACTGTAGTCCACTGCTTCAATCACCGTCTAGAATTAGCTGCTGCCGACGCATTCAATGCTACGTTTTTTGCACAAGTAGATGAAATATTGCGTCAACTGTTTTCTCTGTACCAGAAGTCACCCAAGAAACTGAGAGAGCTGAAAAAACTAGCTGAAGTGTATGGAGAAACTGTCTCTGTTTGGGCAATCGCTTTAGTGATCTTCAAGAGACACCAGTTTACAAACACCTTTGTCCAATTATAGACACCCAGTCCTGGCCAGGTGAGAAAGTTAATTTGGTGAGCTATGGAGGCGAATCGGTTACGCTACTTGTCGAACACTTCATTCAGCTTTTGAAGCATAACGGATGCGATGTGTCGCACGATACAATGCTGACAGAATGGAGTGGGCTTAAGTTGTTGATTTCAGAGACGTATGGCAGAGCTATACCATACTTAGATGTTTCGGCTGCCATTCTCTCTTCAAAAGTTAGTAAAGAAAAGTTTTCAAACGTTCTTAACATTGTGGAACTGTTATTAATTACGCCCATCTCTAATGCTGTGGTTGAGCGAATGTTCTCAACAATGGCCAGAATGAAGCCACACCTACGTAACAGAATGTCAAGAGAAAGATTGGACAGTCTGTTACGAATTAGTGAGGAGGGTCCATCAGTGGAAGATTATGATCCAGCTCCCTCAATAGAGCGGTGGTATGAACAAAAGAAACGAAGGATTGGATATGGAGGCCACGCTTACCCAGAGAAGCGAAAGAAGAAAGTCGATACGTTAGACGCATCAAGCTGCAGCAAACATGCTTATTTTTCGGACCAAGACTCGTCAGAAAGTGACTAATCGTGTACTATAACATGATAACTTGTAAATATGTATACGTTGATAAAATGTTATAAAAATATTACGTTCTAAAAATATTAATTTAGTATATAGTACAGTATAATAATTAATTTAATATCATTTGATTATGCCTCTGGAGAAAAATTTTTGTCAAAAAAATTTGCACATCGTTTTTTCTCAACTAATTCGCACCCTGTTCCTCAGGATGATTTTTTCTGGTGTATTGTATTACCTCTTGTACCATGTCCAGGGTTTTGTCCAAAACTTTCTCATCATCCAAAATGTAAAGCTCATCCTGAATTTGTTTGACTTTTTGAACACACTTATTTCTAACATTTTGGATTGAGTTGGAGCAATAATCTGTTGTGGTAAGAAAACAGTCAGAAGAATAAGCTTTTTCATAATTAGGACATTGCGCAAAGTTTCCTGGCAGTGACTTGTGTTTGATATCAGTCTGAGTTGGGCTTATATTGGCTTTTGGTTGAATTATATGGGGATCTTAAGTAAATAGGGGATGATTGGAAAACTTCACTCCAATTGATTCCTACCCAACATTTGGTTGTTGAACAACAGCACAGATGTGTTTACAAGGTATCTTCCGACTCCTGTAATCAAGACATTGGCAGGAAGTCATTTGGTCGTTTGATCCCAGAAAAACTTGATATGTGGATGATGAGCTTGTGACAGTGAAATGTTTTGTCGTTTCCATCTTGATGTTTTTACTTGGAATGTCAGATTCCATCCGTTGAATAATATGAGAAACAACATACTTTGGTCTATTGTGCAGGAACTTTGGGATTTGTTGCTGTAGGACTTGTACAAATCGGATGATTTGATATTCTGTTCCTTATATCTATAAAGAGAAACACTTATACTTTTTTGATTATCGTTAAAGCTCACTGATTGCGAAAATGGCAAAAAGTTCATACTACATCTAATTTTTAAGATCGGAAGTTAACGGATTAACTCGGAAATTTTCGGAAACTCTCGGAAGTCTTCTGAAAACACTGGATTATCTTAAAATCGTCGTTGTTTTGAAAGAACTGTCGAGCTATGAAGATTTTTTTTTCATCAAACTATGATTTATATATATACATTCTTTATGAAAATGATGAAAATACAAAAATGCATAATATTTACAAAAGTTCACCAAAAGTTCACAAACTTTTAATGTTCATGAAAAGTTCATGAAGAGAGCAAAAAGTTTACAAATCTGTGAACTTTTTGCTCTCTTCATGATCTGGCAACACTGTTGGCATTTACTCAAAACCCAATCAAGTCAGTTTTAAAATCATTATTTAGGGGAAATTCCCTTAGTTTTGAGGGGTTTCCCCAAGTTGCTTTTCTTTGGGAGTTTCATATTTCTGCTCAAATTCTCGTGTTCCTTATTTGGAAGCTCCCTCTGTTGTGATGGAATTTCCTAATCGCGGTTCGGCTGTGGCGTGTGCATATCTCCTCATCATCAAGCAGCGGTATCATGTTGTGCGCATGAATAAACTTAAACTTAGTTTATACAGTTCTCTCAAAATCTGTTCCAGTTTTTTTGCGTCCAAGTTCGCTCTTTGGCCTGTGTTCTCCAGCAATTTCAAAGTCGTATCTATAACTTTTATAAATTTTGACGACCAACTGGTTTGGCTTGATCTTTACCTTTCATTTTGGCAGCGTTCAACTTCGGGTTTCACATCGCCAACTTCAAAAATTTGTCGCTCGTCTTGGTTTAATATTTGTCTGGCTGCCATAAAAATGAAATAAAATATACTCAATCAAAGTTTCTTATCTCGTTATATTGGTATTGTTAGTGTTATGATATTAAAGCGCTTCTGTTTGTGGATTTTATATAACGTGATTCGACACAATCGGAAACACGAAAATAATAAGTCAATTGACCTTATATGTATAATGTTATTAGTAATCTATTTATTTTTTCTCTTTAACTTTTGTACAACTTACAGCATGATTAAGGAATGTTGTCACATGCAAGTTAAAAATGAATTATCTTGGAGAAGTCCTGGGAAATTCCCTTTGCTATATGGGCTTCCCCTAGCTTTTTGCCCTAGCTTTTCTATTTCTTCAAATGCAAATATTTCGGGAACTCTCCGTGTTTTGGGAAAAAGCCAAAGTTGTGCTTTCTCAAATTCTATCATCTTTCTCTTTACCGTTTTTTTCAGTTTTTCGGTTGTATTTTGAAGCCGGTTTTCACAGTTCAGGCAGAAAGTTAGAAAATCGAATAAACCGTCATTTTCCAATTGATTGAAATCATAGTGGTGACGAGGGAAAACTTTGCAGAATTCAATAACTTAATTCATGTTTTCCCTGGTGTCAGGTGGCTTCGATGACAAGTACTATGTAATCACCCATCATTATTTACTTGAGTTAACCTGGCTTGACCTTGATGCAATTGTAATTGGCATGATAGAAGTAAGTTTACAATTGCGATATAAAGTTCTTACAAACTTTGGTCAAACTATTATATTATGGAGCCGATGAGATTAAAAAAATGCTCGTGATTATTTCACAATGTTATTTATACAAAATATTATCAACGTTGCGACTTGCTGTTGTTGATCAATGATCAGATACAACATGACAAATGCCTATTTCAAGAATAGATTTTCATATTTCAAATACGATTCATCCTGGAGCTTAGATATAGCTACGGTTCTGGCAATAGATCAAAAGATCTGCTGGTCAAATTTTGTTTAAGACTCTTGTATTTTGATGTTATCGTGAATATTAACGTTAACATATTGTAAAACAGCAAAGCAACATTTTACAAAGTCTGAGCAATTATGTAATTATTTATAAATGCTTTCACTGAAAAATGTTTAGAAAAAGCTCCGATTTTTGTCGCCAGTCAGAAATGATTTGACTTTTTCCATTTTTCCCGATCTCTGGATAATAAATGAAACAAATTTTATGCAACTTTTTCTATTATTGCCTACGCTCTTCATCAGCTTGTCATGATTAGTCCATCAGTCTTCTTAGTTTTAGCCATTCTGACCTTAATTGGTTTTATATTTAATGAGTAGTTGGCAAACTCTATACATAGTTGAATAGTTTGCTTAAAGTTTTTAAACTAAATAGGTTGTTTTATTTTACTGATAAATTTACACCTGTTAAATTAACTGTCCTCTCAATATTTACTCCAGTTCTGTGTTCACAATTTGTGCTCCAATTGTTTGATATTTCTGTATGGTTGCCATAAGAGTAAAATGAATGTATTCAAACAAAGCTTCTTAAATTTGTGTTGTTTTTTCAATTCGTTTGTTGCGTTAGGATTTTTAATTTTCATTAAATCTCATTCGTGGATATTGTACTCGCTGATAACGTAACATGAGTCGACAAAAATAAACAATAAATTAACTTTGTATGAACATCATCATTTGCAATTTTTAAGTATTTTATATTTGCTGACTAGACCATCGAGTTACATGCATGCTAAGTTGCTTACAAAAAATTAAACATTCCTTGGAAAGTCTGCTCTTTGTATTTCCCTTACAGTTAAAATCCATATAGACGTTGAGCCTATTTTCACCATTATTTGTGATGTGACTATTTGTTCATCATCTTCTGAAAAATGCAAATACTCAACCAGTCAAAAAGAACTGACCAAGCTCTAGCACCAGAGCTTATCTTTATAGCAGTCGGGGTAGGATAATGAGTTTTTTGAACTTTTAGATTCGTTTCCAGCCCAACGTAAGTACATAATGGAGTGTGTGGAACATGTCAAAGAGCAACAAGCTCATATTGAATTGTCTACTACGAAGGCGAGAAGGTTTCTTGATCAACGACCTAAGGCAGGCTAAAGTGGGGATCAATTTGTATAGAATGCAATTTATAAATTATAATGGCGGCACAAGCTATATTTATAAGCTCGCTGAAAAAATAAACATGGCAGGGGTGTCGAGTGGCACGATGGAGGTGAGCACGAGTAAAGATTAGAAATATAGATCGCTGATGAAAAAGGCTTCATACTATAGTTGTACTCTATGAAGCTTCCCTCTGGCGGGTTGTTTTACCTTCTTGCCCATCCCATAAACCTATCGTTGAGCGTTTTAAAGTTGACAATAACAAAATGCATGAAGAAACGTCGAGTAGCAGCATAACTCCCACAGCTTGAATACTATAAGAGAGTGGTCCGAGGAGAAAAATGTAGTCAAAGGCATTGTGTATGGTGAGCTCAGCAAAGTATTATGTTTTCACTATTTACCATCAATTCTCTTTGTATGTTGCAAGTAGATTGCCCATTCAGTAAATCAAATTTTTATAAAAGTTTAAAAAAGCCATTTTCTTGAAATAATATATGCTGTATTGCTTTTTTTCTACACTTGTACCTTATGATAAAAGCTATGATAGTAGTCTAGCATGAAACCTATACAGCTTCCGTTTGGTCGCTCTTATTTCAACAATTTCAAAATGCTAATTACCTACTATTTAGTTGTACTGCAGTGTTATAAAAAGTACTTGATTGCTGGTTAAAGCGTGTTTGATAGCTTCTATATATCTAAAGCTATTTGCAGATTTTTCACAAATAAAAATACAAAATAATAATAGCAATTTTATTAACTTCTTATAAACTAATGTAACATAATTTTTGAATAGATATATATGCACAGCTTTATATATAAGTGCTATACATAAAATACATGTGTGCAACATTGATGAATTAAATACTTCGGCAAATACTGTCAATACGATTACTGAATTAGAATGTAAATATTATTTTAAGTCTGTCTTGATATACCTCTACAACACTAAAACACCAAAAGAATCAAAGAATTATAAGAAACAAGGTCGGTGAACGCTGTCGTGTCATTAGACTTAGTTCTCTCTAGAACAACACCGTAATCGTTGTTGTAAGTTGTTCAATTTGATTGATAAAATTCCATACTTCAATTTATATTTCTCAAGATTTATTCGCAAATTATAAGCTCCACTGGGAAAGGGACGTGCCAAACACATGTAGCAGGAAGATATGCAACCTACCACGAACGAGTATGGGAATGCGAGCTGCTTCATTATAGAAAATACTAAAGAAGGTACAAAACTTTCAAGATCCACTGGTTTGCCTTCAGAGGATGTCATCCGAAATATAACATAGCAAGCTATCCCCCATCCAAGTAAACGAATGCTTCGTGTGACAAATTTTATTGTGCCAGCAATTCCCTCCAGTTCGTCAATGATGATTTTTGCCTGTGATAGATAGTCATTACAAAGATTAATTTCCAGTTGAGCACGACCATACAGCATTATTGTGTTTTCGCAATGTTTTATTTCCTCTTTTTCAATAAGCTCTGAAGTCCTTTCATATTTCACCTCAATCATACGAAAGCACTCTTCAATATGTTCGAATTTTGGTCTATGGAGAGTCTCTGGGAAGTCAAACGTGTCTTCCACAATTTTCAGATTCGGCATATTTTCCATTATACCAATTTGCTTCAATGATTTATTTGATGTGTGTTTGGGTTTTTCCAAGCAATCCCAAACATAAGCAAAGATGTGAATAATTTTTTCCCAACAATTTTTAAGATACGTCATTTTCATTCTACTGTTCAAGTGTACTTGCGAATGATTTTGATTCGGTCAGGCTTTGATATTTATAGGTATGTGTTTAAATGTGTATTAAAGTCATTTTTTCTTTCTGATTTCAGTTTTTTCTTTCTGATTTCAGTTTTTTCTTTCTGATTTAAATTTTTTCTTTCTGATATAAATTTTTTCTTTCTGATATAAATTTTTTCTTTCTGATTTCAATTTTTTCTTTCTGCTTTCAATTTTTTCTGACTTTTATTCTGACTGAGTATTTCATATATATATTACTATTTTTTTTAATTTTTACAATTTTTATTATTACAATCATATTTACTAAGTACTACTTTAAATTTTTTCTTTCTGATTTAAATATTTTCTTTCTGACTTAAATTTTTTCTTTCTGATTTAAATTTTTTCTTTCTGATTTAAATTTTTTCTGACTTTTATTCTGACTGAGTATTTCATATATATATTACAATTTTTTTTAATTTTTGCAATTTTTATTATTACAATTATATTTACTAAGTATTACGGTCTATCTGTTGCATCAACCCGCACCCGCAACCTTCAACCTGCACGTGAGCCTTGATGGGATTTGAACGCACATTCGTGGTATGGGAAGTATTGACATAGCCAAATGCGCCATCTTGACACACTTAATTTTTTGAAAATTTTGCATATAAAATTGTTTTGTCTTACATTATTGTCGTCATAAGTACACGTACATGTGACATGACGTCATAAGTACACGTGCACGCTGCCGTAAAAGTGGTGAATCGATAATATGCATTCCAGCTGCTGTCAATCGTTGCGCATTCAATCATGACATAACAAGAAAAAAATGAAAGTTACAATATTTCATAATGATATTTGCGTTGCGTTCTGTCTTCTCAGTACTGATTCCAAATTTTATCTTGAATTCTAAAAGAAACAGTGATTGTTTTGCTACTGAAAATTGGTTAAACCACGAAGCTCTAAAAGAAAATATTGCGCTTTGGTAGTAATTCGTTGTTTAGACATTTCCCTGCTAAGTCGTGTATATCAATTGTATTCTCTATCGTCAGGTGTGACAGTTAAACTCAGATAAACGATATTACCTTCATGCAGTAATGCAAATTACAAATTAAAAACTCTACAATGTTGATATGTCCAAGGGTTTTGATATATCGTCCGAGACTCCGAGTCATGTCTGAGTCATCTCTAGAACGCAAGCCGATAGGACGGAGTTCTATTCAGATGAATGAAAAATTAGTTGAGACGATTCAAACAACCCGGACGACTATGTGAGAATTAGCCTAAACTCAACTTATCAAAACTCAACCCTTTACAGAACTTCACTTTGGATCTTCATTTTGATTCAGTTTTCAGAAATTTCACACCTGTTTCATCATCAGTTTCAAATATTATTCATATTGAATGCTTGTACAGTTACACGAATTGACTAGCAATATCTCAGTGAGGTGGGATTTCTAACTACACGTTGTCAGTTAGCTCGTTTTCAATTTACTCGAAAGTATTCATAAAGTATTTATTAAATGTGCTAAACGCTATCCCGACGAGAAAAATCATTCTGCAACAATTCCAGTCGTCTGTCTAAGTACTTTAACTGCATCATAAAAAAACTATGCTTGTATTGCATCTTTTCAAGATTTTCTCGGAGCTCGTAAGCACGTTTTGGGCGGAAACTAGACAACCACAAGTAGCCAGAAATCGCGTAGCCTGCCAGAAGAGGCAACCGAAGGATTAATTTCTTTACTGCAGCACTCCTCAAAGGGACAACGTAGTTTGCAAGATCCTCGAGTTTAGATGTGGATGATGTAATACGATACAAAGAGTAACACGTGACTCCCCATCCTAGTAAACGCACGCCACGTGACACATATTTCACTATGCTAACTTTTTCCATCAATTCGTCAATGGCAGTTTTTGCCTCATCGAGAAAATCACGACAAAGCTGTATCTCCAATTGAGCACGACCAACGTATGAGTTAAATATGTCAACTTTGTGAGGTTCGAAATCTCTTGTTAGTTCCACCAAAAGGTCGGACGCCTTTTCAATAACATCCAAAGTTGGATAGTATTTTTCCTCCACCAAGCGAAGACATTCTTCAGCATATTCGCGTTTCGCGCTATACAGATTTCCCGGAATATCTAAGTTATCCGATATGACTTCTAGCAACTTAATGGTCAAAGTTTGGGAGCCAAGAACTATAACCAAATATAAACATATTGAACAATTAATAGATTTGAAAGTGCCACGTCTTCCGCTCTGTATTTAGTAATAAAGAGCTTTAGCAAGAGTACGACTGCGACGAGTAAGAAGTTTGACCGTGTAAGGGAACTGCGGGAGTAAGTTTGTTGTCGTTGTCGCTTCGTCAAAATTTTTGTTTAGCTATAAACAACAGAACGAGCCTTTAATTGTGAAAAACACCGACGTTTGCGAAACAGCTACGGCTCCATTTGTCAATAATGATATCAACTAATCGGTAAAACTGATTTTGCGAGAGCATAGGATTCTTTAGACTGAAAAATCTCCACTATTTTAAATTTTATGTACGATATATTTATGCTATTTTATTGTTTGTTTACCGTTCACTTTGCGTACGAAATACATGAAAGTTTTCAAGCAGTGGCGGATCCAGCCTGTTATCTTACCCCTTTCATAAAATCTCTCTAATGTATTTCATAGGCGGCAGCAAACACAGCTTTTTGTTATTTAGCTATCCTTGCCAAAAATACAAACTCTTATAGATATATTGACAAAAACAAAAGGAACCGTTTATCAAGTAGAAAATACTAATACTTACCTATGATATGGTACAAGCCTCTTAACACCATCTCGTCCTCTGATTTATTGGTAGTATCTGGTGTACTTGACGCGGTGTCTCGCATTGTTGAGTCAATGCTATCGGTTTGGTCGGTTGCATGCTTTTGATGCGATGGTTGCTCCAACCAGTCCACAACCAAGCAGACAGTTTTCACAACTTTATTCCAACAATTTGTTAGGCGCTGATGTTTTGTCAATTTCACGTTGTCTTTCGTTTTCTTGATTTCCTGTTGTTTTTGTTCATCGATTTCAAAATCGCCCATCGACTGTACAAGTCTTGCGATTTCTAAAATTTGTTTTCTGTTTGCGACAGCAACAGGCCCTTCATTCTTCCCCAAAGGTAATCGACTTGGTCCCTTTGGATGTTGACTAATGTCTAATGCTTTAGATCTTATTGGGGATCTTGCCATACCTGTATTCGTTTGCTAGCCTTGCGAACCACTTCGATAATGCTCTCTCAAAGTCTCAACCAATATCCTATATCGCACAGGTGTAACATGATAACAGCGTTGTCAAATCTTCGTTTCATTTTATTTCCTGTAGCAACTTGTAGGGAAAGTCCCAAAAAAAAAACAAGAGAGAAACCTTGCCTTGCGCTGCTAGGTAACGGCACAATGTTTAAACTGCATGATATTTTGCAAACTAGTCAACAAGAACGAACAACGGTTGCTCAAATGATAATGGCATTAAGCCAATGAGATAATCGGCTAATACTCATAATTATTTTACTATATGCTGTATAACTACGTCTAATTAATGTTGTCAAAGTTTTTTTTGGTCCGACTTTGCAGTAATTCAGGCATTGGAAGAAAAATTGGGACTGTCAAGCATTTAATTGGCATCCTTACATTTGTAGTCATAATTTGTCTCTTGCCTAGCATATGTTACCAAGCAACGAGCAAGCGAGTCTTTGTGGTGAAACAATAAGATATGACCAGACTGCTTTGCGCTCACCGATTGTATGCCAAACAGACCTTTCAGACGAGGCAATAACCTATCTCTATTGTGCCAAATACCAAAACAGGCGCTATCGTTGCCTTTGTTATCAAGTAATATTAGTAAACCAATAAATTTGCACACAGCTTATTTTACAACTTTTCAACTCCTCCGACTCTTTCGTCTCATTCGTGACGCAGCTTCAATGAGCGTTGATTTCACTAGTATTTTTATGGAATTGCACGACGGTAGCATGAATATCATGGACATTCATCCATTACTGATCATCACGAACATAGGTGCTGCTGGTGCGATAAGTTTTTATTTGCTGCATTTTTTAAGAAGCCTTGTGATGTCCCCATAAATGCACAAGCTGGTAGAGTGCACTCTATATATTTAAATTTTTGACCGAAGTTACATCAAAATTGTGTATTTACTATGAAATCTGACAAAAGTTGAAACTGTATTCCCAAACGAATGCTACGCCGAATGCAAGTAGTGCCAAAACTAATTATATGTACAACATTTAAAATAAACTACTTTAAGTAATTGCGATACGATACATGTTTCATTAAACCTACACAATGTAAACTATAGTTCAGTAAAAAATTCTTGCTGAGGTGTCGTTTTAGTTCTATTCTGTGATTCACTATATTAAAATATTAACTGTTTAGTGAGTATTTGAATATGCTAAACGCTGCCCTGACTAGGAGGATAATCCTTCTGCAACAACTTCAGTCGTCGATCTAAGTAGTTTAACTGCATCTCCAAACGTTTATGTTTTTCCTTCATTTTTTCGAGATTTTCACGGAGCTCATACGCACGTCTAGGACGCAAGTATGACAACCAAAAGTAACCAGAAATTGCGTAGCCTGTGTTGAGCGGCAAAGGAAAGCCTAACCTCTTCACTGCAGCACTAGGGACAACGTAGCTTCCAAGATCTTCAGGCTTAGATGTGGATGATAAAGTACGATGTAAAGAGTACCACGTGACTCCACATCCCAGTAAACGCACGCCACGTGACACATATTTCACTATGTTAACTTTTTCCATCAATTCGTCAATGACAGTTTTTGCCTTATCGAGAAAATCACGACAAAGCAGAATCTCCAATTGAGCACGAGCAACATGGGAGTTAAATTTGTTGATTTTTTTAGGTTTGAGATCTTCAGAATTTTTGGAATCTTTTGCTATTTCCTTTAACAGGTCGGACGCCTCGTTTATAAGATCTAATGTTGGAAAAAATTTTTCCTCCACCTCGCGAAGGCATTCTTCAGCAGGCTCGCTTTTTACACTATTCAGATTTCCAGGTACATCTAAGTTCTCCGCTAAGGTCATTAGCAAATGGATGTTCAATGTTTGGGAGCCGAGAACTATAACAAAATACATATAACTGCTAATAATGTTGAAACAGCCCATGTTTTCCGGTTTGTGATTCGTGGGCCTATAACATAAAACTATGTTAACTGTGTAAATGCAGAAGACCAACACGTCTTGACAATAACAATCTTTCCTCTTTCGTAATACAACTTCTTGTTGATGTGTAAATAAAAATTAAACGCTCATATCTATTTAGCTGCCTACCTAGTATGTATCTTGCATACTTGACGCACTGCCATCGGTTTTATCGGTTGAATCTTTGCTGCTAGCATGGCTACCATTTAACAAATGCGATGGTTCCTCTAACACTTCCAGAACACAGCAGACAGCTCGGACGACTTTCTTCCAACAATTTGTAAAGCGCTGACGTGTTGTCAATTCTACGTTTTGTATTCTTTCCTTGATTTCCTGTTGACTTTGTTTGTCGACTTCAAGATCGCCTATCGACCGTACAGCTCTTGCTATTTCTAAAATTATATTTTTGTTTGCGGTAGCGACGGGCGCTTCATTTTCTCCTAGAGGTAGTTGACTTGTTTTCATCGGACTTTGGCTATTATCTGGAGCTTTTGCCATAACTATATTTATCTACTTAGGAACCAAGTACAACAATTTCAAAATTGCTTTGAAAGTGATATGTCAACCAAAATGAGAAATTTTAAAGAAGCGATACGATGACAGCGTTTTCAGATTGCGTTTTGAATGCTTTCATTTCGTTCTCCGAGCGGTTCTCAGCTCCGTTCGTGAAATAACTATTTATATGATGACCTTCTTATTGGCAGGAAAGATTGTATAGATAGTCCAGGTGGTCACGAATAATGTTTTGTTATTCTTGTGGGAATTTCATGTGGTGACCAATTGTATTTCATCATTTATAGCATCATCATCATATGTCGTTTTACATTAAAAGGAAATGCCGATGCAGCTGCAGCAATGCGACAGAATCATCCGTTTTCAATTTTTAAACATCAAAAGAAGAACGTTTTTCTTCTAATCCCTTTTTTTTCACAATGTACTGTATTGGTCAAATTGCCAATGTTATTCTCAGAAATATGGGGTAGAGAACATGCAGATAATTACATTTTTAATACCACATATCAAAAGGGCCCAGACTCGGCTGAATTTTTAGTAATGCATGAAAAAATTGTGAGTTACTAATTCAATGAATCTTAATTATTCTTTTCTCAAACATTTTCATGACATTATTATGCTTGACATTACATTTTTTGATCAACTTTATTTATTCCATAATCCACTTCGTGGTTAAGTCAACTGCTTTACAAGACTCTTATGTTCATAATAAAAATGGCGTTTTGCTTCTGTTAAAGAAACAAAATTCTATAGCAAATGCAACCATGACGAAGATATCCTGAAAGCAGTATAATAACAACTTTTTTTTTTGTTTTGAATAAATTTAATTCCATTTCCAAACTTCATGTGCTGTTTCTCGCATTGTTACAGCTCATCATATTTAGGGAAATTCCTAACTAAATAAAAAATTGAGGGAACTTCCCTTTTTGAAGCAAAACCTCGGCAACATATATAGCAACATTTTGTACTTGTAACAAAAAAATAGCAAATATAAATGAGCAAGATTTGTCCAATAGTGACAACATGGAGCCAATGAGATTCAACTAATCCTCGTTTTTGTATTGTTTTACAATTATATGTGCACGTATTATTGCCAATGTTGTTTTTCGCCAGCTATAAAATAACATGATGACAATGACAAGAATAGGTTTTCTCATTTCAATGACAACTTAAGGCTTTGGAAGAAAAGATGTGCTAATCAAACGTTGTTGAATAGATCTTCGACTTTTTATACCACAAATTACAATAAAATATTACAATATCATAAAATTGCATTTTATATTTTACAAATCATGCATATAACAAACTAGTAATCCACTTTTATACACACTTTTAACTGAAATATTTTCACGAAACGTTATTTGAGATAATAAATCATGCAATTATTTAGAGTTCGAAAATCTTAGTGAAAATTACATTACAAATTTAAGCAAACTTAAAGTTTACACAAAGCTATGTTTTTGCTTATTTTAATGCGTAAAATAACACAGCTGTGTAGGTTTATCACGGTTCGATGTTTGAAAACAGAGGGTGAAAAACCACAGAGAAGTACGATGGCAAATAATTATACACCATTTTAGCTAAAGTACTATATACATTTCTTTCCAGGTCGATCTTCCATTTCTCTCAGAGACAAGACCATTCTCTCTAGTATTAACACTTCGTGGCTTAAGTAACATTACTCAATATTGTAAATTGTAGGCTACAGGAACATTAAAACCCGGATGACCCCCTGTTTTTGAATGGTCCATCTCTAAAATCTTTAGTGCTCGTCAAGCTTATGCGCAAATCTTCCAGTTTCTCCTTCAACAAACAGTGTTGCGATTCGAGTTTTGCAATAGACTCGTAGAAAACACTCTTTGTGCCTTGAAATAAGGACATCCATCTTGCCTGATCTTAGGTTAAGATGTATGCACATGCACAATTTGGCTTGTCATCACGAGCGTTGCCATTTCACGTTGCCACAACAAGGTTGCAAGTTTAGCTTTTTTCCTTGTTTGCTGCAAGAGGGCTACAAACGTGCTGTATTTTGAAAAACGCGACGGCATTAGCATATTGCTATCCCCCACGACACTTCATTCAACTTTAATAACCAACACTCAGACAGGCATGCTCCGGGTTGATAGTCGCTTCCAAATATGCGTTTTCATCGCCAACTTCAAGCAGTTGTCGCTCGTCTTGGTTTAATATTTGTCTGACTGCCATAGAAATGAAATGAAAGATACTCAATCAAAGTTTCCCTTTGTTACATGGGTTTCTCCTTGCTTTTTGCTCTGGCTTTTCTATTTCTTCAAATGGAAATATTTCGAGAACTCCCGTGTTTTGGGAAAAAGCCAAATTTGTGCTTTCTCACATTCTTTCATCTTTCTCTTTACCGTTTTTTCAGTTTCTTCGGTTGTATTTTAAAGCCGGTTTTCACAGTTCAGGCAGAAAGCTGGAAAATCGAATAAACCGTCATTTTCCAATTGATTGAAGTCGTAGTGGTGCCGAGGGAGAACTTTGCAGAATTCAATTACTTAATTCATGTTTTTCCTTGTGTCAGGTGGCTTCGTGACAAGTAATAGGTAATCACCCATCAATATTTACTTGAGTTAACCTGGCTTGACCTTGATGCAATTGTAATTGACATGATAGAACTAAGTTTACACTTGCGATATAAAGTTCTTACAAACTAATGAGCACAATTGGTCAAATTATTATAATATGGAGCCAATGAGATTCAAAAATCCTCGTGGTTGTTTCACAATGTTATTTATACAAAATGTTATCAACATTGCGACTTGCTGTTGTTGATCAATGATCAGATACAACATGACAAATGCCTATTTCAAGAATAGATTTTCTTATTTCAAATATGATTCATCCTGGAGCTCAGATATAGCTACGGTTCTGGCAATAGATCAAAAGATCTGCTGGTCAAATTTTGTTTAAGACTCATGTATTTTGATGTTATCAATATAAATATTAACGTGTATTAAGGAACATTTTAGAAAGTTTGAGCAATTATGTAATAACTTATAAGTGCTTTCATTGAAAAATGTTTAGAAAAAGCTCAGATTTTTGTCGCCAGTCAGAAATGATTTGACTTTCTCCATTGTTCCCGATCTCTGTATAATAAATGAAACAAATTGTATGCAACTTTTTCTATTATTGCCTACGCTGTTCATCAGCTTGTCATTCATTTGTCCATCAGTCTTCTTAGTTATAGCCATTCTGACCTTAATTGGTTTTATATTTAATGAGTAGTTGGCAAACTCTATACATAGTTGAATAGTTTGCTTAAAGTTTTTAAATTAAATAGGTTGTTATATTTTACTGCTAAATACTACACTTTTCAATGGTCCATCTCTAAAATCTTTAGCGCTCGTCAAGCTTATGCGCAAATTTTCCAGTTTCTCCTTCAACAAGCAGTGTTGCGATTCGAGTTTTGCAATAAACTCGTAGAAAACGCTCTCTGTGTCCAGAAATTGCCTAAAACACCGGATAAATGCGACCAGGGTTAACCCACCAAACTGCAACAGGTCCAATAACGAATGACTGGATTCCTGATATCGCTTGAACAGAAAATAAGTAGTGAACGCCAAACCTGTATTTGAAATTTGAATAATTGAGCTTCCCTTTTGGAATAGAACTTTATCTGCCTTAAAGTGTGCTCGCACAATGACAAAATAACTAATATAGGAGCGAACTCTAAATAGGCTTTAATGCAATGAATATGAATACAATTACAAGGCTAAATCTAACCTGCACCACGCATACCACGCAAACTCCATTTAATGGTTTTCATTTTACCAGCAAGCTCATTAATAGCTTTTTCTGCTCCGTTCAATCGCCGGCTACACAAATCAATCTTCGTTTTTGCTTCCCTAACGATGTTGTCAAACTGCATGCCCTTTAGGAAATCGACGCTTTCACCACCCAACATTTCTTTAAGCAACCTGCTCGCATCTGCGACTAAACTCTCAATGGATTTCTGGTTGTCTTTGACATCTTCCAAACACTGCACTATGTATTGACGCTTTCCTGGAAACGGATCTTGATCGCTTGTCAGAAATGCGCTAACTATTTCCATTATCACGAAGATTCGAGCGTTAATCCCGATTTCTGAATAATTAATGGAGCAAAGGTACTCATGAGAAATAGATGCAAAATGGTTCAACAACATGGGTTTAAAATTCTTATATCTACTTAGTTAAACTGCACCAAACATTAAAGATCTTTGGACACACACTCGTTGCATTCAGCCAATCAGAATGTGATGCTCAAAAAGTTGCCAAGCCCTGTCAATTCTGCAATTGTATAATAATATGTTCCTCTTCCAGGGCGATACAAGCAAACAGCTAGTCGAACCTCTGGAGGAATGGGCTCTTCAACTATGTTTTTCTTTCCGAGTACGTGTCTTAGGCGAGCAAGAATAAACAGAAACGTTTCCCGAGATATTCTAAATGTTTTCTTGTATCTCACTGCAGAATAGCTAACCTAAACAAGATTCCACCATCCTTTATTCTAGCAAGTCTCCGACATGATCGGGGCGTTATTGATGTTGAACGCGGGTTTTGCGAGCATAAACACAGAATCAGGGTGATCGCAGCTCTGATTGCTATGATTCTTCTATTAATCAATAACTGAATAAAAGAATCAAGCATTCTCCTTCGATTTTTGGCACCCTCTAGCACATGTCGCATAAAAATGATCTGTCTTTCTGCTATTTTTGTTTTCGTCATAATGAAAATCCCGCTATTTATTTCAGCATGCGCGTTGTATAAACGCTGGCGTAAAGGAACGAAAGGTCATATGAATCATATGAATTAAAATCGACGTTTGAATCAAATTCCTATTTTGCCGTGCTCTGCCGAACTTAATAGTAATTTCGCACGGCACATCAGAAGTTCGCCGTTTGAACTAAGCCTTAATTGCCTACACAATTGAAATATACACGTAGTACGATAATATAAGGACGTAATGAAAATATTGTTTAGTTTACATTCCTTACAATGTAAAAGAACAAGTGTAAATTCTACCCACTTGTTAAATTAAACAGTCTTCTCAATATTTGCTCTCGTTTTTTTGCATCCACTTTCATATTTTGACCTTTGTGTTCAAGCCATACCAGAGTCACGTCAATAGCTTCTCTAAATTGTGACAACCAGCTTGTTCGATTCGACCTTTCTTTCATTTTGGTGTCGTTTGACTTCGGGAGTCGAGAACAACTGGTCGCCCAAAGAACGAGCTAACTTCCCGACTTCTTTATTTTCCTCACATTTACCAGTCGCGTCCGTACTTGCGTTTTCATCCCCAAGCTCAAGTAGTTGGTTTGTTGATAGCTGTTTTGCTGCCATTGTTGTGTAAGATTTTTTTGACTGTGTTAAGGTGGATCTCCACAAGACGATTTTTATGACGATCGTCTTAAAAATTCGGTGCGCCACATGCGCAGTAGGAAATAAAAATCGTCAACTAAATCGTCAAGCGCTCGACGAAAAGTAGAAACGGTTTCTACTTTTCGTCTATGGAAGGTGATCTTCGCCAAAATTAAAAGCCATATTTTCAATTACTAATGCGCATTTTGTCCTATGCAATGTGCATTTTGTCTTGATCATATTCCATTCTGGAATTTCATAATCGGATTTTGTCCTGTACAATTTCCGTTAAAACGCATTTTGTTGTTGAACATTCCATTATGATGACGTAACATTATTCGTGCTCGCAAAACATCAAATTTTACTCGATCACATTACAACTTATTTATAATTATTTACCGCCAAAAATTGTTAATATCAAATTATACTGTTGCAAAATTTTATGCAATAACTATCACGATCTTTGTCCTTCGAAGCAACTTTAGTATTCTGTACAAAAGAAACGATTTTTTTGGTATGGGGGATGATAATGGAGCGAAAAATCGAAAGGCAACAGCTTTACTTCGCCGAGCAGCAAATTTACTGAATCCAGACTCTTCTGAATCAGCAAGTCTTAGATCTTCATTGTAATCTTGCCGATCATGGAGCTGCTCAACGTGTCCAATCGTCAACACTAGACAGCACATTGCAAGAATAACATCAGGCTTCGTCATCTCAAGCTTCAACATCAAGATCATTTTGTTCGATAAGAGAGCAGGAGTTTAGGCGGTTGTTTGCACCGTATAATCAAGCTAACAATGGAAAGATGTTTTCTCATCCACAAGCAACGTGGTCGATCTAATTCGTGGGGATAACAAGGTCGGTGTTATAAACCACAAGAAACTTGCACTCACGATTTTTTTTGCCTGGCAAACCATGAGCAAGATTGTGTGCCTACTAGAATGGAAAAAATTAAATTACAAAAAGCTGGTCTTGGACGTAAACGTATTTCTTTCCATAAAGATTCAAGTCCAGCCAAAGTGAAGGCAAAATTAGAAGAGATCTATCCCCGGCTGGTATCAGGCGGTGGTTTTGAGAAATTAAGGAGTGGTTTATCACCCAAAGATTTGTATCTTATTACCCTCCACCAAATACTGGATATTCTGTCCACTTTCTTCGTGATAGTTCTGGCCTAGGGCAGGCAATTGCATATATTAGACCAGTTCAAGCTGATCTAGATTCCTCATCCTTGGAAACGCTCATGCAGGAGATGCTCCAGAAAACAAGGTACTTTATTCATAGCTTTGAGTAATTTAAGTGATAAATTATTAGACAGGAAATGTTATACATTGTTTTGCTAGGATATATCTATTGCACCAACAGTGAAATGCTTAAATTGCTCAGTGAAGATTCCAATGAATTCAATCAGGAATCATATGGTTGAATGTGGAATGGACAATCACCATAAACAATTTAAGAAGGTCAAGATCAATGTATGCTATAAGCTTGCATTAATTCCTATTACAAATTTACTGTGAAAATGCCGCACTGTTTTTTGTTCACCTACTTATTTTGATAATTGAATGAATAATTTTTTATCAGGCAAGTTTTTCTGGAACTCCATTAATGTCTGAACTGCATGAAATGTTTCCTGACCTTCATGATACTGCCGTAGAAGAAGCTGTAGAAGTGTGTGAGGGAGACATTGAAGTGGCAGTTTCATCATTGTTGGATCACAGTAAGTTCTTACATCATTATATCAAGTTCCATGTATGGGATTATCAATATATTTTGGTCGTAGCATAGACTCCATTAAGGCTGAATGGCGGATATGAAAAGACAAATATTTTTTTAATAACTACCTCCAGATAATGAATGAATTAATGTGTTTATACATGTAACTTCAATTATAAAGGCAAAGGAATATTACTTAAAGAGGAGATGCCTAATTATGATGCTGTTGATAGTGCAGACTCAGATTCAGAAAATCTTCAACAGGCAACAGAAGTTCGTCTGCAAGAAGGTACGAAGAAATTAATAGGTACATACATGCTGCTAAACACTCATAAATGCATCATAATTGCAGCATTTATCTTAGTTATTTTCAAAAGAAACGAGTTGTAAATGATTTGATATAGTTTTCTTGATTGGTTAAAAAATGATGCTTTGCTTCATGCATGACTTTTAGCTTGTTGTTTTAACTGGCAATATGCTCCTGCAGCACAATTTGGTCTCAATATGAATGAAGTTGAACATGCTTATTGTGATTTTTTGCATGTTGTATTTAGGTGTAGAAGTTGTGATATTGGTAAGCTTAGTCTAGCAAAATACTTGCTGGGTTGTATTGCTACAATAAACATTTGACTGGTTTTCTATTTAAGAACAAAAGAAGACAGTCATTGAAGAGTATCGAGATGCTACAATTGTCAGTGACAGTCCAGTTTTTCGAGTTTATGTCAACCGCATGGCAACTGACTTTGCCAATGACATTTTGGGAATTTACAAAAATCACAGTAGTAAGTTGTGTGCTTGGTTCAGCGTAAAGTTTGAAAACAAAACTTCAGTTGGTAGTGGTCCTATGCGAGAATTTTTCAGCCTAGTAATGAAAATGATTCTTGATGATTTTCCATTGGATGGTGAAGAAAGGCCCAAAACTCTTGATTTTTGAAGAAGAAAATGACCATAAAGTTCCTGTAGCCAACTCACTATTGAGAAGTACAGGCTTCTATAAGTGCATTGGAAGAATAATTGCACATTCTTTCCTACATGCTGGATCACCACTATTTGGAATTTCTAAAGTAGTTGTTGATTATTTGGTATGTGACAAAGATGAGATTCCTTTAATAGAAGTTGTGGATATACCTGACATTGACCTGAGGATTGCATTGAATGAGGTTTGAAAAGTTTTATTGCATGTGAGCATTGCTTTTCAGTATTTTGTTAGAGCTAATCATGTGTTTTATGACATAGTTGAACAGCCTTGGCAAAGATGAAGCTCCTGGAACTGCATTGAAAGATTTTTTAACTCAGTACAGAGATGAAGCTTCAATTTTAGATACATCATTCTCTGGTGCAAATCATCATGTTATTGCCCAGCAAATCATGTTACATGCTGTCATTACCCGTAGAAAATCAGAGTTGCAAGATCTAGCTGATGGAATGAATGAGTTTGGACTGGTTGATTTCCTGAAGAAACACAAAGATGTTGTTCAACCACAACTTTTTCCACAATCAACTGCTTCTCTTATAAATAAAGACGACTAAAAAGAATTATTGAAATTGAAGAAGAAGGCGTTCATAGTAATCAACTGATGTTGTTTTTGAAACAATACATTGATCTAATTGATGGGACAACTAGTGGTAAGTGTTTTGGTAAAAAGATTCGGGGAAGGTTGTAATTGGTTGTAGTCAGTCTATGTATGTGTTTTTTGTGTGAATATGGTTTGCTTTTTAATATTTGCACCACAACTGATTATATATTATGTTGGAGCAGCAGTAACTTTATCTGTTTGAACAATATCAATGTCAGTAACATTTTCTTGCTTTTAAATTGGACCTTTGCTTTCTTCAAAAAAAACTTAAATGTTTGACTGTTTGAGGTACTAGTTATATTAATACTTTAATACTTGTCCATTCCTAGGGGCAAATCTTAAAGATCTGTTGTCTTTTTGGACTGGGTGTGATTTACTGCCTGCAAATGGTGCAATCCTGCATCTCAAAGTTGACAGAACAAAAGATCGTAATCTGCTGCCAGAAAGTAGAACTTGTTTTCATTTGTTAGTTCTTCCATGTTATGAAAACTTCGATGAACTGAAAGCTAAACTAGATAGAGATTTGCAATTTCGTTCAAGAGGATTTACCAATATTTGATCTTGGAACAGTTTATGCATCTCTTTCAGCAATAACATAGCTTGTTACAGCTAATATGGATGATGCACTAAATTGAAATATTTTTATTCTTTGTTTTGGATATCATTTTTATAGTTAAAGACTTAAAGTGAATATGTTAATGTTTCATTAAATTTTGTTCTGTCAGTGCATTAGCATTTATGTGCTAAAAAACATTTTCTGCTAAAATGTTTGAATAATCAACATAATGAAAAATTTATAGCATTCCTTGCCATACATATCTTGTTTTGTATTATCTGAATTGACACCAACGAACAATAGGTCAAGTAGCTTTTCTTGTTTTGTGAGTTCACAATGTCACTCGTCTTCCTGGTGCAGTCTGGTATTTACAAACTGTAGCAACTCAATGTATATGTCAGCACCATTATGATTAGAAGGCCTTAAAGGATTAATGGTTCTTTGCAGGTCATCAAGATCTATTTCATTCTATGGAATGTTGGTTTCTGGAACAATCACTTGTTGCTGATCAGTTTCATGACATGCGTAATTTTGTGAAAAGGTAGGTGGAAATTCTTGGTTTACCTTAGTGAATTAGAACATTAAATTAGATTTTGACTTCAACATACATCAATTAGCTTTGGATCCAGTCTGATGATTATAATCTAAAGCATAGTCTAAAAGTAAAGTTATGAGTTAGTCAAATCATGATAGATTTCTTTCTGTTCTTATGGGAAATCTATTGTAACCTTCCTGGAAAAAGCACATAATGCAATGAAAACACATGTTCTTCATTTGATGGATCCAATATTCCATTACTTTCTATATGATAGAATAAATGATAAAAAAGACTTGTACAACCAACAAAAAGATCTCGCCACAAGAGCTCAATCCGTTGGTTGTGCACACTTCTTCCGGTAATATGACTGCCACGACCGGGTCCTCGCAAATGGTGGTTTAACATAAATTGAGCAATACCAAC